TTTGGTGAGCAAACTTTTCCTCCTGATTGTGTAAAGGTCAGAAATCAGGTCAGTCACAAATTGCAAATTAGCCCATGGTATATGACAAAGAGGATGTATTTTATCTACGGAAGTAGAAGGCTTTCTGGGTGGTGCGACATTAAGCATGGTGGGGCTGTTGAAAGGTTGGTGACTCCCACCCACCCACCCGAGTGCTTTGGAAATCAGGCTTAGTCATCTTCCACATGGTCACAGTCTTGAAATGCCTTTGGGCAGTTCAACTATACACACATGGGGTCCCCAGGAGTCAGATTCGGCTCCACAGCCACTAACGAGTGACCTTTAAATAATAAAGGCCAACACAAAACGTCCACCTCAAAATGTTAAAGCCTGCTTTGTTCTTCTTGGGCCAAGTGAGCAAGGGCAAGTCATGCATTCATACCATCATGGAAAATGACACGGGTTGAGGCTCCTTTCTTCAGAGAACGATCACTAGGGCAATCTTCTATAAAACCTGGTTCAGAAATTAATTTTTTTAATAAAGAGATCCTATCAAACTCAGTCCCCAGCCAAGTAAGGGCAAGCCTGCTCAAAGCAGGCTTTTCTGGACCAAGTTTCAGATTGGCTGAGGTCTCGCTGCCCCATCGGGTCCCTCTTTGCTTACAGGATGGAATCACTCATCCTCCATCACGCCTGTTCATCTGCTCTGGAAGTCACAGTCATCAATGCCCAGGTGTCTGCCAACTGAGCAGTAGTGGCTGATTCCTCCCAGGCTCAACTCCCTCCAGAGCAAGTTCAGGGACACTTCTAAGGGCCTGCAAAACACACACACCTGACACCAATCTCATCCCCAGAACTCAAACAGGGGGCTCTAAGGATGGAGAAAGGAGTCTTAGTGAAATAGAGGTTACACATTGGACTGCTACCTGCAAGTCTCGTCATTTGAATCCACCGCTGCTACTTGGCAAAGAGGAGGCTTTCTACTCCCATAGAGAGTTACAGTCTCAGAAATCCACAGTGGCGGTTCTATGCTGCCCTATAGGGTTGCTATGAATTGGAAAAACAACTCAATGGCCTTGAGTTTGTTTGTTTTTAAAGATGGAGAATAAAAAAGAAAGCGACTAAGGCTCCCATGGGGAGCACCCCCCCTTTGGTGAGCCTTTAAAAGTCCTAAGGTATATTTAGAAGTCCTAAGTGATAGTTGACTGCCAACCAAAAGGAGGCCCGTGTAAGTCTGCCCAGAAGTACTTTAGAAGGCAGGCCTGGTGATCTATCACCCAAACACCAGCTATTGGAAACCATTGGCGCAGTTCTATTCCTGACACAGGGAACTGCGCCAAGTGGGAACTGATTTGGTAACAGCTGGTATCTTAAGGTGAAAGAAAGATAAGGCCTTTGATTCCTGTAAACAGCTACAGGCCTATCAAAAACTGATAGGAGCAATTCTACCTTGTCTTAAAGGGTCGTTGTGGATTGCAATCACCTTGAAGGCAGTGAGTTTGCTGTACTTAAGAAGGTAGTGATGGTTCAGGTCAGACCTCTCTACCTTTCATGTCAGAGACCTGGGTTCAATGACTGGACCTACACAGCCACCAACTATGTGCCTATGATGCTAATTAAATAGGAGTCAGTAGAACTTCCTGGGACTAACTAGGAAGAAAGGTGGCCAAATGATCTAAATACCAGCCCAATGAAAACCCTGTGAATCATAAAGGCCCAATCTGCAACTGATGATGAGAGTGGTTTAGGGCTGGACTGTGTTTCATTCAGTTCTTGTGTTCATGGAGTGACACAGTAGCAGCTAGCAACAATACAAAAAGAAAACTCAAGTTAGAGAAATCAGGAATAAGACTTTCGTCCCCCTTCAAATAAGCAGCTTAATCTATGGGAAGTATTAGAAATTAATTTGGGAAAATATTTAACTATATATTCATCTACTGCGGTGATTCTCAACTTTCCTAGTGCCGCGACCCTTTAATACAATTCCTCATGTTGTGGTACCGCCCCCCAACCATAGAATTATTTGTGTTGCTACTTCATAGCTGTCCTTTTGCTTCTGTTATGAATCGGATGACCCTTGTGAAAGAGTCGTTCCACCCCCAAAAGGGTCGCAACCCACAGGTTGCAAACCACTGATCTACTGGGACATCAAAAAGAAAAAACTCTTGTTGTTGTTTTATGATTGAATATCATAATGGGACTGTAGGGCTAATATACATCATCACAATACAACCAATCTTAAAGACTTTCTATTCCTAGGATTCAAAATAGTATTCTGCTCTGGTTTCAAAGAATTTGCTTCTAACATTGTATGCAACATGCAAGATTACTTCTCATCAATAGACAATCTATTTTGCAACAGTTTTTATCTAGGACACAGATTCTTGTAATGGAATTGGGAAGAATCTAATTCAGAATTTTGGAATTATTTTTTTTTAATTTCCTCTATGAATGTATTATGAATTGTAGTCCACCACCCCCTAAAAAGTGAGTGAATAAACAATATATTCAAGCCTTGGGTGCCTTTGAACAAAAACTGTGGGTCTTTCTTAAAGTTATCCGTTGATATGAGGTCATGGGCGGGGG